AAGTAACAGGACTACATGCTTGTCCAATTTGGAAATAATTGGATTCAAAAAATTCCTCTGACAGCCAAATTGGACTTGGCCTGCTGCCTCGTCCAATTTTGGCTGTCCTCAGAATTTTTTTCATCCAATTATTTCCAAATTGGACAGCATGTAGTCCTATTACATATACAAATCAAATCTGGAACATCTCATCTTAATTAGCATATTTTTTCACAGTTGTACTACTTTGTTAACTCTTTGTAGTGTACTTAAATGACCAGTATTCAAAATACTTCACATTTTGCCAAAAACAATCTGTTTTCCATCATATTTTTTGGATCATGTGTACTTAAGGCATCCATGGTCAAGTGTCGATTGATACCCTCAATCGACACTCAATCAACATCTTGATTGACACTTAATTGACACTCAATCAACATCGTGGTCGACAGTCGACTAAATTTCGATCAATTTACATGTATATGAGTTGGTCGACACTCGGCTGATGATTGACAGACTGTTGAGGGAGCGTCAATCGAGATGTTGATCGGGTGTCAATCAAGTGTTGCTTGAGATGTTGATCGAGTGTCAATCGCAGGCCAATTGAGGGTATCAATCAACACTTGACTGCAGATGCCTTTAGTACACATGATCCATATTTTCAACTTTCCTCTCATTGTTTGGAAATGTGATAATCGTCCCTTTTGTTTACTAAATTGCATTAAACAAATTCAATTCACACTGGTTTTATTGAATTAAATGGAAAACTTATCCATTGGGGGAGATATTTCTTCACATATGAAGGACATTAGGTTCACCATTTCAATGCTTAAATGGCTCATATTTACATGTATTCCTTGTTTTAGGAGAGAAATTAGCTGAATGGGGTTTTATGGATGCCCAAACATTTTGTGAATGTGGTATGTTTTTTTCCTTTTTCTCTTCCTCTCTCACTCCCCATGTTGCCCAAGTTGAAAACAGGAAAAAAAACTATCTAATTGTACAGTCAAGACCAGATACATTTGAATAAATAGATACTGCTCAATAGTTCTCTTTTGAAAGGCTACAACCTAGGGTTTCCTTGTACAGCATAATAAACAGTACAACATGGAAGTACTGCTCAATAGCTTTCATTTGAAGTGTCACACACTAGGGTTTCATTCACAAAAAATACAACCACTTTGGACAGCATAATAAACAGTACTACATGAAAGTACTGCTCATTCAATAGCATTCATTTGAATGGTCACACACTAGGGTTTCATCCACAGACTTATAAGTTAGAACCACCTTGTACAACATAATAAACAGTACCACTGAATAGTTGTTATTATTCTACAACATTTTTGTACCATCTTGTTTGACTTTTTCTAATTTACTCTTCAGCTGCAGCATTTCTTTTAGAACACCCATCCCTGGAAGGAGACACACCCCCAGCCAAGAAAAGAAGAAGTGTAAGTAACTCCAGCCAATGACTAGAGTGATGTGGATGGGAGGGGGAAGAGTGAATACTTCTGTACTAAGCTTAAGATTCAAACGGGAGAGGGAATCTTGAGCTAAGTACACAATTACCTTGATGTCGTGGGGAGGCTTGGGGAGAGCTATGCTGGCTCAGTGGATCTCCTGAGGTCCTGTTAGGGTCAGCCATGCTAGACAGGTTGAAGATTAGAGGCCAGATAAAGAGCAATCTACTGGTCCTCCAGGTTGGGGGTTTTGCACAGGGCCAACAACCCTGTCATGTTAAAAAGTATCTGTTATGGAAACAGTAATGAGTGAGAGTAGCTCAAGATTAGGACAAGATCACTTACTCTGTAATCCCTTCGTAGAATCCTGTCATGTAACGTGTCAATCAAAACAGATGTAATAGGAAGTTAATTTCAGAAAAAAAGAGTGTAACTAATAAGTAAGGATACATACCAATTTTAAGACCAGTGGATTTTGACTGAGAAGTTTTATTACAGTCTAAAAGATTAAGCAGTTTTACATGGTAAACATTGCTGAATAGAAAGCCTTGCAGGCCATCCATCAATCTACCCTTGCCCATTCAGATTTTGTAAAATTTTCAAGCTTTTAAAACTGCCTTGCATTTAAACATCAGTCAGCCCGAAAATTGACAGTGTTAGTGGTTACATTGTATTCTTGCCTTTTTCAGTGCTAGTCTTTCATTAAGATTGACAGATCATTGACAGGGTCCTTCAAATGAGTCTATATTCTGTTCTGTTTCATTAGGAATCTATTGTAGATGCATCTGAAGATTCTCAACTTCGTGCCGCAATTGCAGCATCACTGGCGTGCACAACATCCGCACTTAATGAAGAAAACAGTGATGACGACGAAGACGAGGACTTTGATGACCTGGAATTTAGTGAATCGGATTCTGAGGAGGAGCGCAAAACACCGCAAAAGAACAATAATAAGTCAAGTACCTCTGTTAAAAAGGAAGTTAAGAGAGAAATAAACTTTGATGAATCTACTAATAAGGCAAAAAGAGCCTGTGACGAAGGCAACGAAATATCACAGAATGAACATTCAAAAAGTACTAATTCTGTGAAGCAAAAATCTACTGCAGGATTTGAAACAAACACAACTAATAAATTGAAAAAAAGTGAGGCAGAGGTCAGTGAAGCTGATTCTACATCTGAGGAAAAAGATGATTCATCAAACCACAGAACACAGGAACAAGCAGGTAAGAGAGACTGATCGAAATGTTAGCTCTCATAAATGAGTGCCACACATTTCTATCATCGTAACATCAGAGATTTTGTTGGTTGATCAGAACAGCCTCCCCTAGATGATGACATTCTTTGTTTTAATAACGTGTCCTCATAGCAATGAGTTGATTGGTTCTAGGAAATTTAAGAAAAGCACAACAGCAAAATTGCTAAGCAAAAGGTTTAATGAGCAATACAATACCTGTCGCTGTCATGGTTTCTCAAAATCACTATCGTTGAGCAGAGTGAGGAAAAACAAGGCAATTTAAGGTAGACTCCCTTTTGTTTCTTTCAGGACCAATGTGCAATATAATGGTGCGTTTTCCCAATGGATCTCGAACTCACATATCTCTGAGTGCTGAAGCATCCTTAAAGGTGAGTTCATAAATAAAAGTCTTGCTAAAATAAAGGTGGAGGCAGGAGAACATGTCGGAGGGGGGTGGTGATTAAATGGGATTCCAACATCACTGACACATTTGTGATGAGGTGTGAACCACCAATGAAATGGTAGGATCCTGAAGTAAAAGAAACAAGAGGTCGGTGCCGATCCCCTCTCCCCTGTTCCCCAACCTCACCCCCACCTGGGATAAGCATCGCCATTATGGATCAGCCGCCTGCATCAGAGATGACTTTATCTTAGCTTTTGTTCCAGTGTAGGAGCTATTGTAAAGAGTACTGTTCTGTTGGTTTTTACAGGAGCTCGTCCTACTCGTACAGAAAGAGGGATATCCCAATGAACGCTTTGAACTCGTTACCAACTTTCCGCGGAGGAAATTGACGTGTTTGGATTTTGGGACGACTCTCAAGTCAGCGGGTCTTTTCCCGCAAGAAACCGTGTTTGTCCAAGAAAGATAACAGGGTTAAAAGCATACTGAATCTGAAAGCGAGTGCATATGCCATGAGTGCACATGACTGTAGGCTTTCGAAGATTTCACAGACCCTCTCGAAGCAGCGAGCCAAACATCCGCCAGTCGGCAAGAAATACCGTTAGAAACATGTAGATCTGTACATCTAAGGTAAAATAATTACGCAAGTATGTTCCAGTTAAGTACGTATATTACGAGAGAGGGAAGTGATTCAGAAAGAGAATTAAATATTTTGTCACTATGTTGTGCCTCTCTTTTCTTCTATGCCCGTACACTTCAGAAAGCTAACTGGGCCGTCGCTTCTGAGCATAGAGAGCCAATGACGACGGCGACGCCAACCCAACGCGTAGTAAAGTATGAATTTACATTTTAGCCTCGGTTTTCACAATCGTCTAGATCTGCTTAGTGCGCCTATCGGTGTCAGAGCTTGCTCAAGCTAAAATATGTAATGCCAGCGTTCAATTCCAAAAGAAAATACGAAAAATTAGCCGCTGTCGTTCACGTTCTCCAAAGTAGCGAGAACTTAGTCATTTCACGTTGCTTTTGTACAGAGGGCGGCTAAGAAAAGTACAAAGATTTATAACGCACGTGCACAGCTATTGTTCTACTCATAAAACCTTTTGTTTGGTGGCGTTCTCGTTGCCGTTGTCGTCGTGGTTTGCTTAAGAGGCCCTGCGCCTGAGAAACGACCGATGATTTCCGGCTAAAAAATAAAATCGGCCGATTTTTATCTCCCAAGTAGAGGTTACCGATTACTATTTAAAAATGAATTTCTTTTGTTTCAGTTTAGCTTTAAACCAAAAATATCGAGCCGCAAACTTTTCCGGCCGCTGTCACACGACGACATTTTCCAGATTCAACTTTCGTTAGCAGACTGTAATTTCGAGTTATTTTCTTTTTCTGCGTATTTTTCATCTTCCTTTCTCTTTCAATTCTACATCCTTCTACTCAGGATGGTCTTTGAATGCCTAGCA